ATAGTAAGATAAGCAAGCAAGATTAAATATTATCAGTACCAGCTAATCACAATATTTGCAGAACTGCAAGAAAATTTAAAATGTGCAATCCATTTGATGAATTCCAATCAGTTCTTGAAGGAAAAATTGATAAATTTAAATGATCAGATTGAAAAAGGCACTGATAACAGTATCAAATTAACAGTAAGCGATTTCTGAATTGTATTCAGTGTTGATAAAGCTATAAAAGCTATTTCATTTAAATTATGCACAGTATTATAATTATTACTTTTATGAGATAAAAAGTAAAATTCAAGAAAGATAACTCAAATATTAGTTTTTACGCTTGTGTGTTGCAGTAAATTCAACGTTTTCAATTCAATTTTGCTGTGTGATTTGTAAAAATGTTTTTGAAGGAAATATTTAAGTCATTGGAAGATATTCGCAAAAAAATGAGAGAGAATTTTTCTCGGGAAGAATCGGTCGATCACAATTATGTCAAATGGGAATCTTTCTCCATCATATTCTTTTATTTACAAAAACAACCTAATTATCTTGCTAAAATTATGGAAAATCATACAAATTTTCCTGAAGGTAAATTAAGGTCAAAGGTGATATAAAACGCATGAAAAAAGTACCTGATTACTTGGACTTGATCAAAAACGTCTCCACTTCTTTTATGTTAAATCAACGCATTGTAAATAATGTGAAATACAATTTAGGTTGATCGAATTTTTCTACTAAAACTAAGCTTTAAGTCATCTTGAACTTTAAAAATGCTCAAACAAATAAGAATATTTAAAGTTTACTAAGATTATATAAGTTATTTAGTCATAAGTTCTAGTTTCAGAACTATCAAACTTATTTCGGAATTGTATTTTGCCGATTTATGGTTATGGCATTAATAATCGTGAAATGACACTATTAGCATTGTTATTAGCGAATTATATACAGTCAGAAATACAGAAGCTTGATGATCCATCACAACTACGCAATTCGTCCTCATACGTGATACTGCAAATTTTTATAAAGTTTGTTTTAGTTTTTAAATTTAATTTGCATTTTAATTACCATTCGAAAAAATTAAAACATTTTAAAGTCAAAATCTATGATTAGCTCCTCTATCAAAAAGTTAAAATTCATGCTATTTGCTAACGTTATTATTTCATTTGAATCTCTTTCGAAATTGAAATATTCAAATTGTTGTCACTGATTAAATTACTGTAAATATACTAATGACTGCAGTTTAGTAAATTTTTAATTTCACTACAACTTTTATAATGAAATTTTGGGCAATGGGCGTTCAAAATAATTGTATGGCAACAAGATCTAACTTTTGGAATATTTTCCATAGATCTAATCTATCGATTGATTGAGTCGTTTAAGTACTGACTGACCGATCGATCAATTGGTTTGAGTACAAATTTTAATTAATTTGAAAATAAAATAACACAGTTCATTCATGGGTGACTTTAATAAAAATTAAAAAATAAAGATAAGCATAAATCATTAAGATTGTATGGCAAGACGGAATCGTACAAATGCGAAATAGCAAAACTGAATGACATATTGAAACAGAGTCAGAATGAGCTTGGTCACTTTAATCTTAATCCGGTCAGTGTATATCAGTCAATAACAGGTCATAAAGCGGAAATTATTGATAAAGCTATGAGCAATGCTATTGTTGCAAAAGTTCTAAACGACACCAAACGTTTCCTCACAAAATGGGCGCTTGCATACGCTGAGTTGATCTTTAGAACCATCACGGAATATCCGTATGTGTTTGAAAAAATCATAACTTATTAATAATTTAGCCATTTTAATTCAACTTCAGTACTTTGCTTCAAGTGATATTACAGCACACATTTGAAAAATTTAAGCATTTAGTTAAGCTGAAAAGTAAATTTGTAAAGACTTTTGAAATCTTAGCTCATTACCGGACATGTTTTCACTACAATATATTAATATTAATATTAATATTATTATTGTTATTATTACTATTATTACTGTCGTTATTGTTCACAATTGTCATTACTTATTTTTTTCTTCATTATTTGTATTATCATAATTTGAAAGAGTAAAAAATTTTCATTAAAATATCATTAAAAACAACTATTTTACCAAAATATGTTTGAAGACGAGCTAATATCACTTTGCATTAGACAATTTATAAAATTGTATGCACATTTCAATCTGTACAAGTTTTACTACAAATTACTTTAGTGATATTATCCGATACCTTGCGATGATTGCGAAAAATGAGTTGAAAAAACGATTTCCTCAGCAATCTGAAGCTATCCTTTCGCAGGTATATTCGATTCATATTGCTATGATTATTTATAATAATTTGAATAATTGCTAATATCAATGCTATGATCACTATTACTATGTGTGCTGTGCTGATATAATTAGTATTATTGTAAAAAATAAGTTATAAAAACGTCAAATAATTTTAGTACTAAAAAGTATTATTACTACTCTCGTTATCTTTTAAAATACAAAATGTGAAGAAGTTTTAGGCAGTTAACGCATGGATTTTTAAAGGTTGCTGGATGACAGAAGTTACTTCCGTAGATTCTTCCGTAAGTAAACCAGAGAATTCGTATCATGAAGTTCGAAGAGCAATTAGCCAATTTATTGAATTTGGCATTTTGCACTTTGGTGTGAGTATTTTGATATTCACAGTACAATTTAAATTAATCTATGATCTTTTGAGATGCAAGGTCAGGCTGAAATTTTACTTGGTATCAGCTGATCGGGATCTTTTATTACTTCAATACTAGATAATAGATAATTATGACTTTTGATTTAAAGATATCGTTTTTGATTTCTAATCTTGATTTTTGTAGACTCTTGAGACTTTTCTCCATGACATGACATCGAGTAACTTGTCATGAAGCAAAATTTAGACGCAATTTTAGCCTGACCTTGCGCTTCAAAAGTTTTTACTCCTTTCCTTCCTAAGCGAATTCAATTTTTATATTTTGATTTTAGTTTCAAATAGTTTCATGCAAATTTCAAATCTTTCAGTACAGTGTGGAGAAATACTGGCTGACCTCACTTAATGGTACAATCAAAAAAATTAACGATATTTCAAGGTACTGCTATTTATCGTCCAGTGCTTTCAGCTATCTGTTTGATAAAAAAGCAAAATTCCTTAACAATTAATTTTAAGTTACTAAATATATTTTCGGAAAAAATTTGAGGCAAGCTTTTATCTAAAATAATTTTTTATTATGCATTTGTTGATAATTTGTATGCTTCATTTTTCATACATAATATTTTTTTGATATTAATCTTTTTTTTTTACATTTTTCCGTTTGCATTATTTATATTTACGACTTCTTACATATCTGCTATTACTATTAATTTGTTAAGGCTTTTATAATTGCTCTTAGATACATTACAAGCAATTTTCAGGCCTAATATTTTTATTCAAACTTAACATATCATTTAAATTTCTCAGTTTAATATTCTATGATCTTTCATTTTTAGACCACACTTCAATAAATTTTTGGTGCATAATCCACCAGACTATACTTATAATACTGAAGACGAGTACTACGATACATATGGATTTCACAGGCCGGTACTTCATATTTCAGTAAATGACCTACGAGTAACCTTACAAAAACTTCAAGCTAACATCAATGAGGTGAAAAAAGTCTATTGATAAGATTGTATTTAAAAAATAATCAGTTATATTCATATGGCTGAACTTTGAAGTACAATTTAAAATTGACTTAATTTTGTCAAGTCAGAAATCACTTGTTATGCTAATATTAACTTGCAAAATTAACAAATAATATTTTACCTCTATCGCATATAGTTTATAATGTGACCAAGATATTTCTGATCTCATTATTTTGAACCTTCAGATCATGAAAAAACTTGGTATGGTATATCTTGCAATAAATAACTATTCCTGTGAATAATAATAATAATTATTATAATTATAATTATAATCATAATATCGAAAAATCTAAACAATTATTAGATAGTTCCCGAAAAAACATCTCAATTACATAAACTGATAGCGAATACAACGGTACCATTGGATGAAAAGACATCACAATATGTAACCCTTAATCTTCATCCATTTGTTACCAGTGAAGACGATGATAAGGAGTACATGTTCCGAAGGTATTTAAAAGTTATCCATCCAACTCATAGCAATCATTACTTTTTCATCAAAGACAGATTTGTATAAAACTTTGTTGCCATACTGTGATCCATCCACACTATTGATTCATTCATTCAATTTGATGCTTAGATCAATAAGTATTACATTATAGAACAGTACGTTACGTGGAAAAGTGTTTACTTAGTGGTTGTCCAGGTATTACGATCTCACAACTTTTGGCACGTCATACGCTTCAGAAAGAAGAAGAAAGATTTCGCACACTTCCACATGAAAATAATGATCCGTATGTAAAATTATATATGCAAAAATGATAAATTTTTATTCAGCAACAATTATAATTCATTAAGTTTCATTACAATTAAATTTTCAAAGTTCAAGATTCATTTCGATTATATCAGTCAAATAAATATTTAGCTGTAATTGGAATGAAATTTTAAAAGGATAAAACTGAGAAAGCTTCCGTTTTTCTCTCAGATAATATATAATCGAAAATGAATCTAAAATTTAAGAAACTTATATATATATATATGATCTTAATTGATTGATTTATAAATTATGATTTAGTATTTAATTGAAATAAATACTTGAAAAGTGGAATGGTTATAGTGGCATCATTCAGTAAATTGTTTGATATTTAGAAGCCAAAAATACTAAACAGAAACAAACATTTTTTATTTGGGATTTGATTTATCTTTGCTTCCTCAAGACTAAGTTTAAATCAAACTTACTTTTGATTTGTGATTCATTAAGAACTTCGAATAATTTGTTAACGAAACAAATTAATATTTTTTGCTCAAAAAACTTTTTCAGTTCAACATTGAATGACACAAAGCGCCTGATTCTGCAGCATTTAAGTGCACTGGAAAAGATTAATCGAGTTACATCCATAAATAATTATCAAGATATCAATATTGCTATTGCTAAGGTCAGTTTAACTTGACTGAAAGTTTTCACTTTTTCACGATCTTTCAAAATTTTCACTTTGCTATTTCAATGTTCATTTTCAAGGTTCAAAGAAACAATGAAGCTATTCTATGGTCTACAATTTACAAAATTTTCGGAAAGTTTAAACTTACAATTCATCCAAATTTTATTTATAGGATATTGAAAACGAACGTAAGTTTCGTAAAAATCGCCAACGGCAACTATTAACAATTCGTCAGCTTGTGGCAGAACTTGAAGAAGTTCAATTAAATTTTCAAAACCAGTTGAATAAATATGAAGACTACTTGAAAAAGTAGTTTATGCAAATCAGTTAGTGAAGTTATTAATGAACAAATCTTCCTTTCAGGAAGAATTTAAACTTCCATTTTAGCATTTCAGATTTTCTAAAAAAAATTGGTATTCACAAAAACTTAAAAAGATCAATTTTATGTACATAAAAAGTTAAAATATATGTAATCTCTTCAGCATTTTCAAAATTAGCTTTTGTATTACAAAAGTTTTAGAAATTTGTCTTCCTCTAAAATTTACCCACTCAAAAGCTATTCTTTATAACTGAAGTCTATAATATATTACAGTAGACCGAAGCTTTTACAACTTTAAGTCAACTAAAATTTACGTAGAACTTCCGTTTAAATTAAAAGTTTATGCATTTATTGAAATTGTGTGTACTGTTCTTCCAACACGTTTCCCTCCTTATATCGCTAACAAATTTTTATATTCTCAAACAAATACACATATTTTTTCAATTCAAAAAGGTTTGTAAGTAATTAAACATCTCTCTTATATTGTCATTCATTAATTTTACATGCATTCCGGCAATGTTATGGATAAAGGAGGAAAATCAAAATTATGTTAACAAATTTGTAAAATAGATCAGAAATAGAATGGATAAATCAATTAGCGAATACACTGTATTCACTAATGAAGGTTATTTCCTTACTTAACAAAATAAATCTCTTGAGCACATCTTGTACTTGTTTTTATAAATCGAATTTTGTTACTGACGTTAACTCGTGAATAACTAACCGATCAAAATTAATTAATCAGTTATTAAATTCTTTTCATAATTTGCTAACAATATAAATAGTAAAGATCGAATACTTCAAATCTGTTCGTAAAAATTAGTAGAACTATTAATATTTTTATTCAGCCTTAAACTAAAAATCTAAATCCACTGGAATGTTGTTGATTTTACAGAATTAATGAAAAAGGAACTACCAATTATCAATTAATGAAAAAAATGAATCCTTCCGTGCTAAAATGCAAACAACTGAATTTTGTCTCTGACCAGCAGATCCCAATTACATGGTATATTTATGTTACTCTCAAGCAAATCACTTCATATCATTCTACTAGCAATAATGAACGGCAACATTGACTTCTTTGCATGCATTAATGTCGCCGTAGAAGTTAACTGATTCTGGTAAATTAATATTTTGACGTTGCCCAATCACTTTTAATGCTAACCTGAATATGTGCAAAATATTTACTAATAAGAAACTCATGACAGATTACTTGTTTACTGTTCCACACATAAAATCACCTGACACTACTGCCTCAATGTCACGTCTGATCAACAAGTGGAACAGTATGCTGTACCAACAAAATTAAACTTTCTAATTGGAATCAATACATATCGTGTCACTCACGACCAGTACACATCCTTCTCGGCATTGTTATTACATCACCGTACCGATGTCCACCATAAATACAAGATTATTTTTGATGGCAAAAACTAGCATTTTCGAGAACCCCAATACCAATGAGCACTTACATTACTCATTGCAGAACTCATGATTCCATGCAACTATCTTCAATCTTGAAAATGATGACCACACTACCAAAAAACTAGCGCACTTGCGACCGCGACTTTCCATATCCAAAAACCTTAGCTGTCACAATGAAAGCGAAATTCATGTGTAACAACATAATTTTACTGGTTGATATTCAATAAAAATTTATTTCAGTAAATAAACTCCATTTATTTATACAAAATGGGACTAAACCAATTTTCAGAAGCAGACAGTTAATGTTAATTGTTACAGCTCTCATAAAACGAATCCATAAAAATAACCAACACACACGTAAGTATGCAAAGTAAACCGTCTTTAGCAATGCTTCTCTTAGAAAAAGTGGCATATGCCTAAATTATACACAAGCAAGAAAATGAGACGAAGTAATCCGCTTCACCTTATTTAAAGTAACACGTTTTGTCTACTACCCTACTCTCTCCTCACTAAAAAGTCATTAGTAATTTGTGATTCGTAATCGAAAATTCAGTTTCAGTAACAGCATTAATTCTTATTCAAAGAAAAAGTCAATGAAAACTCTTCCACACTTTGATCATGAACTAACATTGCTTTTTCTTAACTTCCGAAACTAATAATATCAGAAGATAAAAACTGCCCAATTTTGTGTACCACTGTCACTGCACGAGAAAACCACATCCTGAAATTATGTTCTGTTTCTCCAAACTAAGACTGATGACTTAATGTATACCTTCCTCAGTACCTAAAAATACTTTTTAAATTGTTTAAACGTACTACCTACCACATTAAACCCGATATATGTGAGGGTAACTGATTGATTTCTACGAGACATATGAACGGAAAAAAAGTGACAAACATTTCAAAGATGGAAACTAGAGGAGCAAGACCATTAAATTGAAGTAGTTACCAAATTGCATGAGTTTGAAAAATTCAGCAATTACAAAATATCCAAAACTATACTTAGCAGAACATAGACAGAATGCTTAATGAGAGATGATCTCAGTGAAATAATCGATTCAAAAAATATCAGCGTTATGATTTATGAAGAATTAACTCCAAGCCAGAAATACTGTGAAATTACATGCAGAATTATATTTTAATTAAGAGGCATGGGGAGTGGGGGAGTGCATTTTTCACAATATATTTTCCACAGTTGGATGTTTTCACCAAGTAAGCAAAATAAATCGCTGTATGATTCCATTGTTCTTACTGAGCAAGCCAATTAATCTTCAAATCCGTTGGATTTTTTCTGACACAATTACCGGGTTGTTCTTACGAATTTCTTCTCGCTCCATCGTCTTGTAGTCAAAAGAACAACCATGTGCAGTGTCATAACGATGTTCCCCACAGTATAAGCCACCACAGCGGCAGACAAAACCTATAAATACATTGCACTTTTCCCCTAATTAAGGAAAAAAAGCGACAGAAATTGAAAAAAAAAATGCTCGATGCAGAAAAGTTACTGATCTATAAAAAACTCCAACTCTCTCATAAATTATGAATCTATAACCGCCCAAATATGCTAAAACTAGAGTTCTAAAAGAACGAAAAATAACCAGTAAGGCCAACACGTTTCTTGCAAACATTACAACGATTGGCTTTTTTCGGTATAGGTTGTTGACCCTCATTACTTAAAGTTCCCGCTTCCGTACCAGTTGTAGCATCGAGACTTGCCACCGAACTGAAACTCATTGCGCAAATCTAATTCTGCTCTCTTCTTCATCATAAGTTCAACTTAACGATTGGAAATTGCAGACATAATCACATACAACGAGATAAATAGGAGGCAACTCAATGTGCACAAACCTCTACTTAAACTTTCATCTCTTTTATTACGAAGTTCTCATATATTATTTAAAATAAACAGATACTTAATGATATGGGTCAAACAAAGATCAATTTTACATCATTAACGAACTGATGACGAAAGGCTGTTTTTTGAAGACATAACTAGAAGATTATACTAGAATAAATGCAAAAATTTATCAGTATCTATAGAAAGTTTCTTCCTGACCAACTATTATTTACAGAATGAGTCCTTCGCCAGACAAAAAATTACTTGTTTATACCGTCAAATAAAAATAATCCCGTGATTGATAACATCTATAACTACACTGAACAAAACTATTCCGTTATAACTGTCCCTTACCACAAATTAAAAGTTGTTATACACTATAAATATTCAATGAGTTCGCAAACTATTTGCAACTAAACCATACCTAGATGCAGAAAGAGCACCGGAGGATGTACCCGATGAAGAAGTCGCGATACTGCCTGCTGCTTCTACTGCTGCTACTACTGACTCCAACTTTGCTGTCATATCTTCAGACGACTTAGCGGCTTGAGAGCAAGAAACCTTAAAAAATATACAGAGAAATAATCATAAGAATGAAGAATACTTGAAGACTAATTATAACCGGCCAGCTACATCATGTAACAAAAAGGTAAAGAAGCAATATCAAAATATCGCAATCAGTACTATTGGCTTCATTACGCTCAATGCCAGATAGTATGGTAGAGTGAATTCAATGCAGTGTAAATATGACATAAATAAAGTAGGAAATTTTACCAGGAAAAAAAATACACTTCTGCAAAACATCTCCATCACATTATTTATCTTGATGTACAAAAATTAAAAAAAAATTTGTCTAGAGCAATCATCAAGCACTGACCTCTCGAAGTTTGTCTGCAATCATTCCCGCCGATGTCGTGGCAGAGATGCTATCAGCATTACACGTCGTACTGCTGACAGTGCTCGACGTACCTGTACTACTGACACTCGCACTAACCACCGACGTCGGACTTACGCGAGCAGTAGTGTCTTGCTTACGTTTGACGTAATCCTTGTAACATTTTGAACAAAGTCCTTCAGTGGATGATGAACCGTAAAAACCACAACCCGAGCGACACAAAGTTGTTGTTTGTTGTTGATTTTCCATGACTTGTGCTCAGAATGTTATTACCACTAAATATTGAATGATTGCTTAGCTTGCTCAGACTGAAAATGATATAAAAATTGATTATATATGATGAACAAAAACGAATTACGCGTCGATATTAAAAATTATTCTATTAACACACTTTATTTATACAAGCAATTCGACATGGGTTACGCAAATAACAAATGTGCTGATCGACTTTTACAACTTTTTCTAATCAATGGTATTGAATGACTCAAACACATGAATTTCCAATGAAAAAAGCTAATATTTCAAGATATACATAAAAAAGAAAGGACAAAACTAATCTCATGAGATAAAATGGAAAAAGGTGGTTGCTTGCACTGCATTTCCTTTTAATCTTTTTTGACTAGCAAAATATAGAAGAAATGCATCTTTTTGTTTTGAGCACCTAAGTGCTTAGATCTTGCTAATGAAAAAAATCACATACGAAATGACTATGTGACGAAATGGAATAATACTGCAGCACTAAGGTATCCCAATCAATTTTGTTTAACTAAGCTCAAGGACTGTTAGTGAATTACAGTACCGTGTAAATTTAATGTACGAAAAAATTGTCTCAAATTTCAAAATATAGAAATTTGACATTGTGCGTGTGCGTGCAAAAACAATTCATATTTAGGAAAATCATAATGATAACGTGAAATAGGCTAGTAAGGTTTTAATAAATGTAGCAGAAATAATATGAAGAACTGAAGAGATGAAAGAAAAATTTGCAACTGTTTCCGAAAACAAGAACTAATCTCATCATTCATATAAGCTAAAAGATATCCATCACAAGATATTCATAACAGTAATCATTGAGTGCTATGAAAGTAAGAAAACCAATATGACTTACGCAAAATAACGTGAAATGATGCAAATCAAAGCGCATTACTTCTATAATGCATACTCCTAGCATCAGCCCAATATACAACAATAATCCAAATGACTCACGCAACTTTACGAAACATAAGCAAGACGCAACTTCTCAACACTTTATGCTGTTAACAGCAGCTCTCCAACGTCTTCAGCAAAACAGTCTACAGCTGCTTTGGCAACCGCACTCTTCTCAACAACACATCATCTCATAATATTTGTGCAACTACCAGACGTGACTCACGTTATCCAACATAAAATAACAGCAATTAGGAGACCAGATACTTTACAAACAAAATAATCAAACAGCAATCACGACTACATCCCACTCCATGCAGCCTTCATCCATCGTTGTAGCATTGGAGAGTCCCCCATCTTCGACATCGTCAGAATAAAGAATCGAAGTAGGCTCCTACTACCTCCCCTCTTGCCAACCAATCAACTTTCCTGCCAGTCTGCAGGCATACAACGACAGTGCGCTCAAAACAATCACTGTGCCTACCCCCAACCCTAACTCCGCCTATCACATCATTTTTACGCACGATACCAAGCCTTACATATATGTGTAAGCGTACACGCGATATGTGCACGCAAACAATACGTAAGATGAGCACTACGCGTCGTCACAAGAAACATGAAGCGTATGCTGCCCAATAATGATGGTGCAGTTAGCATTGGCAAATATCAAAGAAGACTGACAACACAACTGTGCAGACTAACGACTACAAAGACACTCAAATTGCACATCTGTGCACTCAGGGCAACCAAACGTCAAATACATAAATAAATACTCTGATGTATATAAAGAATACAAAGATATGCAAAGGAACATGTACTGCTTACGTGTAGAATACGCCTGCAAGAAATCCAAAATCAGGCTGGCAGAAGAACGAAGTGTTACAACTGCACAGAGGGCACTACAAACAGATACACTGCCACTTATTTCTACACCCCTACAGACCGACATTGCCGCGTACACTCACACACTTCCATGCGCTATGCATTATACTTCGTACACTTGACGTTTGTTAACATGCACACTCTACTTACATCATGAAATGAATGCACAGCCATCAAACTCAGCACGTAAATCACGGCACGCATACATCTCAACAAGTACTGACATCCATATATATATATGCATATACATATGAAATGCGCTACCTCACACGACTTTGGCACCAGCACAAAGCGCGAACAAAGGTCGGCACACACATTGATGTGCACACATGTATTCAACTACTGCGAAACATAGAAAGTGTGACTAATGTCTGCTCACACATGAAGCAGACAGGCTATGGATGTTCGATCGATTGCGAAACATTGCTAGTTAGTATTGCACAGAGGTAAAAAGGAAAAGAACAAGCAAACACTGAGAATTAACTTCGCGGTTGAGATATCGCGGTACGATACCTGAGGTTACCTCATTTACCATAATCAATCTTTTACACGACCAACAGCAAACGAAGCCTGCTTGATTTCTGTCAGAAATAAGCCTTATTCGAGTAATAAAAAAATGAGCCTAGTATGAGCATCAATGAAAAAAATATGCCCAATGAGGTACAATAAAAATTGATCTAAAATTAGAAGCAATTTTCCCACAGTAGAAAAGCTTTCAAAACGTTTAGAGGCATGCAAGTTAACGTTTATACATATATGTATATTTTTACGTGTCTACCACCTATACACACAATCCTATATCATAACTACCACTAGTGAGAATGAATGATTATGTTTGCTCCATAAAATAATGATTGGTATTGTATGCTTTTCCACATTATCGTTATCATTCACGTTTGTTTAGATGCATCATAGTTTGAATTCTAAATCTGTCTTAAATTTTGTACATTACGTCCGGTATCTTTTTCTTTTCAATGACATCATCAGTGCGTAGCATCACTTTTAATATAATCGAAATTTCTTTTTGAAAGATCACAATAATGATAACGAAAACAGTGATAAGACATGACAAATAAAATATATAATACCGTCAAGGAATGATAGTAAGTAATAATAAAGAAAGAAATATGATATTGATAAAGATGATGATATGGCAAAGATAAATTTTATGGTATAAAGTGAAGAAATTCTTCACGTGAATCCCAAGTGTTGTAACTCAAGATGATTATATTAGACAAATAACAATAAACGTATCGTATTTGTCTATTACGGTACTTGTGGCAAAATATAACGTTACGTATTCACGTAACGATCAAGGTATCAATGATATGATTTGAAAAGTGAAACAAAGGTATTCTTGTTGGGTTCCACATGATTGATCGTTAACGCAAGAAGTTATTGAAGTACTTTACATGAAAAATCATCGAAATTTCAATGAAGTAGAATTACAAGTTAGTATTAGCGAACAAAACACGTAACAGAAATGCAGTAATAATAGCAAACGTACCACTCAATAAAACCTGCTACTAAAAATTGGTACAGAACAAGGGAACACAGCGAGTTAAGTATTCATCGAACTCGAAATATGCAAAATAACACACAGTAATAAAATGACAGTAAGCGACTGGATTCTGTCAGTAATGACAATAATAGCAATGATGTTTTTCAGTCATTATTATTATTTAATGATAATAATTACTGTCGAGGCAACATTAATTCAAGCAATATTTCAAACTGATAGCGCTAAAAGTTTAATCATAGATCAGATCTGTAGTGTTGAGATAGTGCAAGAAGAGAAAGACGAAAAATCAATCAGATTACATTTTTTAATTAATGAATTAAATACCATCAATCAGTCAATCAACCAATCAATCAATAATGCTTTTTTTGTTGCAAATAAGATGTAAAAACGAGAAAAGTTTGTGCAAGAATTGTAAAATTAACGAACTTTAATTTATTTTTTTCAGAGTTACAAAAAATATCACAGTAATTTCAGGGAAAAAGAACACTTTAAAAAAGTAATGTTTATTTTTTCATCAAATATTACCGCCTAATTAAATAATCAGTGATAAATTGAATTCATACAACTCTGATAGAGCAAGCAATTGTTTTCTAAAAGAAATGGCACTATATTTTGGTTTCAAAAATATCAACTGATTAATTAAATTGAACTTGTAACTCAAACTATTAATCAATCTATAGTTTCACTCACACATTGAATATTTGAATAATAATTAATCCATAATTATAACTATAGTTTTGTATAATAATCAATTTATGATTATAACTATAATGATGTATCAAATGTGTAATACATTTGCTGAATCAAAAAATTAGATATGTAATGCGAAAAGTTAGGATGAAACTCTGATTGCAAACTGCAATGTGATGGCGATGCATGCCATGGCGACAGCGCAAGAAGTTTGTAGAAGGAATTGCACTGCAATCAGTGAAGAAGTTTAGAGTCGCTAAGAGATGAACTAAATAGCATCAAAGTTCACTTGCTGAGAAAGAAATTGATAACCTCAGAACGATATTAATTCACAAAGCAATCAATCGGAAGCAAATGTTTGAGAAAAAAAAATTAGCAGGTGCATATATACATACTTTACTTGTATTTATATATATATATTTGCTAAATTTTTCTTTTCAATTTTATCAAAATCAATTACCAGTGTACAAATTTGATCGTTGTAATACAGAAGTGATCAATACGAGTGCGCAAATTGAATGCAGTCGCCATCAAAAAATACTTTCAACTGATTTGTTAATTAAAGAAGATTACTCACTTTGTAAAACTGAGTAAAAGTGACCCAATTTTACGAATTGAACTGTACTTGAATTATATATTTGATGATAATCAAACTTTATGTATCAAAAGATTGATTTAAAACAAAATATAAACATTTGAAATGAAATTTTAGTGAGAAATTGGCAGTACGTTTTTCTGGTCTTATAAAATTGCTGCCTGTATGAATCGCTGAAACTTGAAATGCCATTCAAAAGATTGTTCATCTTCAACAAATGTCATCATCTTTGCTTGATCGATGGTAGTAAATGTAATACACTGATTGTTACTTATGATGGTAGTGATAATAATTATTACTGATAATGGCTACTTGCCACTTTGAGCAAAAAAATTTGATCAAGCGTAAATTAATGAGATTGTATGTCAAGTACTGATTATTTT